TTACTTCTAATCAAAGAGAAACAAAAGAACATAGAAGAAAAGATGTAGACTTTATCGAGTTTACAGTAAAAAATAATCTAATTTGTATAAAAATATTCCACAATTTTCTAAAAAGTTATAAAATTATTTATAAATTCTGAAAAATTTTGAGAAAATTTTTATGATTAGAGCGACATTGTAATTCGATATCGTAATTGTCGAAATGAAATCGAAAAAAAATGTCGATTCGATCTTTGAACGAAAATATTCAACATATAAGATTACGTATCACATATTTATACCAAAAATATTAAAAATGTATATATATGAGTGTAATGTAAACTGTTATTGCACTCTCTACATACGCAATTTTTTATCACTCGAAAATGTTGAAATTTCGATGCAAGTTTCGAATCGATAATTTTTCCGTAACAACGTCGAAACAACGTTTTTTCGAGGAATTATTCCTGACTGGGCCGTGAGACCACTCGAATAGGTCGAACATGTGCCTCGTTTCATTTCGGGTTTGTGTTACCTCGATTATTTGGAAAGAATTTTTATACAAAATAAATGCGTTTTTAAATACTTAAATACTAATAAATATTAAAGTTATAAATTAAAATGTCAAGATATTACGAATTGACTATTCTATATGAATTAAGTGAAAAATAAATAGTAAGTGAAAAATAAATTTTCATCAATATTGAATTAAATATAATAATTTTTAAATCAGAAATTGACATTTAATTGATACAGAATATAATAGGATAATCGTTGAAAAAATCCTCGTTCGGAATAATTTTTATATGAAATTGTTGACTGAGCTGATTGTCGATAACAATCGAAGAATCAGTTAAACAATTTTACAATTATGGATTTTCAAACTTCTGACTTGATGCTTATTTCGATTCATAATATCTTAACGCAGAAATAATTAAATAAGATTAGCCTTAGAGCGATAATTTTTATTATGTATCATATGTTGGTTCGTTGACATTGGAAGGGGTTATATAAATACGTTTTCTTTATTATCACTGATGAAGACTTTGTAAGTCGAAACGTTTAAAATTTATAGCGTTATATGAATGTAATAAAAGGCGAACTTTATTAATTAACTATATTTGCTCGTTTTTTTAGAAAGACATTTTAATTGATATTTAAAAAAATTTATTACATTGCATTTAAATGAGTCTACTTTTCTATATAAAAGATGTATTATATTTTTATATTATATTATTGGGAGTAAAAATTAGTTCAGTCCGTTTTCCTAAAGATGGCTCCAGCTGTTGTGAATGATTCATAGTGACAGCTGATTTTGGTGGTTTCAGAGATTAAACATCTGCTAATAATATTCAATTTATATCGCTTTCATACAAAAACCTTGATTTTTATTGTTTGAAATGTCGAATTTTGTGTTAACCAAGCAGCATTTGCGGGAGATTTTGATTTTCTGCTTTAATTGGAAGAAATGTGAGCCCATCGAATGCTTGTCAAAGTTTATGATGACACTGCTCCAACTGATAAATCATGTAGGAAATGATTTCGACGTTTCAAGGAGATTGGAATTTTCACTTCCGAGGAATCCGAGCATTCAAGGAAAAACGCGCCCACTACTACTTCAGGCATGACAAAATTATTCTCCTGCATGATAATGCTCGACCACATGTTGCGGCGCCGGTCAAAACCTACTTAGAAACACTCAAATTCTACCTCACCCGCCGTATTCTTCAGACATTGCTCCTTCCGACCACTTGTTCCGATCGATGACACATGGCTTGTCTGAGCAACACTTCATATCATATGAAGATACCAAAAATTGTATCGATGATTGAATAGCCTCAAAAGATGAAGCGTTCTTCCGATGCGGTATCCACATGCTACCAGAAAGATAGGAAAAAGTAGTGGCTAGTGATGGCCATTACTTTGAATAAAACATTATGTACCGTTCTTTCACAATGAATGCTTAATTTTTTATTAAAAACGGCGAAAACTTATTTGTACTTCCAATATTTGGAAATGCTCAAATGGGATGTTTTACCGCACCCGCCGTATTCTGCGGACATTGCTCCTTCTGATTACTGGTTGTTTCGAAGTATGCAGCAAGTCATCGGTTCACTTCTTTCGCAGAAATCAAAAATTGGCTCCAAAATTGGATCGCCTTCAAAGACGTGTCATTTTTTCGAGATGGAATTCGAAAATTGCCTGAGAGATGGGAAAAAGTAGGCAGCGATGGATAATTAATTGATTTGTTCATTCATTTTGTTTTGAAATAAATGCATTTTTGAACGGACCGAATTAATTTGTACTCCCAATATATTAAAAACGTATTTATTAAATACGTTTTTATACAAAATGAATCTGAAATATTTTTTTCAATAGACGTTTTCAACCATTATGCATGTGTAACATGATCCAATCATATCTTCTGAAGTGAGGCAAATGGCTCTTAATTGATTCATGGAATATGCTCTAATGCGACGTGACATCTAATCGCCATATTGGTTCCGGTGACGCGAATGTATTGGAGCACATGTTGGAGCGTGTGAACAAATTTTGTACATACACTGGAATGGGCATCTCCGCTGTGAAACATAAAAAATCATGGCACCAATTGATCAGCACCATTTTAATTTGGTCAATATGAGAGCGAATCAGAAGCTTTCAGATGCCCATGTGCACTTACGTTTAGTGTTCTTTAGTGAGACACATATATGTCAGCAAGATCATCTCGAGTGCCCAGACAGCAACGTTTCACAGTAACGTTTTAAAAATATATTTAAACGTACATGTTGGACGCTTTGGACATATTAAAAATATCCAGATTAGATCCATGGATATTTAAAAAATGTTTCAAAGACATCCAATGTTACCATTTTGGATTTCTTAAAAACATCCATTTTAGGTCACAATGGACTAAAACTGAACTAAATTAACATATTAAACAAATTTTAGACCATAATCAAAACAAAATGATTCTTATATGAGTATTATTATTGATTAATATTTTATTCCAGAATACACGTCATAAAAAATATGATAAAAAAAGACCTTCTTCCCCTTCGAGAATTCCGTAGGACTTTGAAACACGATCACTCATCCGATTGCATATCCGCTATCCTTGACTTCTGAAATCGTATGGAAACCGCTGCACTTCGATGATTCACGAACCTATATAATCATGGAGTTATGATATATCTGTTCAATGACTTGATAGAAATTTGTGTAGTTCAACTGAACATCCAGTTAGTTACTGTCTAATATTTAATTTTAATATAACGATTATTTCCAGATTAGGAAATCATATGCTATTCACTTTCACAGTACCAGTTATCATATTTCGTCTTCGACTAGAGATCTCCACAATCTCTCTCCTGTCGCGTGCTCTTATCTCTAAGGGAAGATAATTATCCTGAAGGAATTCGTAAGATAAACTAATCGCAAGCACTGGCTTATCAATAGAAGTTTCTTTTGAAAATCAAAGCACGCAAAATTTAGCAGCGATATCAAAAACATCAAATCGATATCAATTCGATGTCGATTTCATCATTTCTGACTTGGTTATTATGGCTCATGTTAATTATCCACTATTAAATAAATATATGCAATTTATACATATTTTCACACATACTGTCATTTCATGTTCCGTCATTATTACTGGACTTATTTAATATAATAATTGTTTCACCTTACAGCTATTTTAATTTTCTTTAATAAATTATATTGAGAGCAATATCCCCTTCCTTCTTAATCATTTTCTTGACCAGTTTCTATCATTTCGACAAATTAAAAGTATGTTGTCACTTCGTCAAGTAACTTAACGTTATTTTCATGATTATTACGTTAACATCGAGTCAACTAAATTATCTAAGCTTCAATTATTATCGAGCAGTGGCTCCATAAGTTTCCGCTCGGCCTACTCATTTTTATCATCTCTAATTAAATATAATATTTATACTCCTAATTTGAATCTACCGGGACATGTCGTTTGTCCGTGCTATCTCACCTTAGCTCAGCGTCCTCACCTAGGACGTAATATCTCGATACCCATTCTAGTGTATATATAGTTCAGTGGTACATGTTTGCCGCGTTACATGTAATCACATCCTTACTAGGTAACTGTACCGTGCAAACCGTGCCGCTTTTTTTCTCCTCTATTAGCTTCTACACACTGGACACGAAAATGCTTGCCACGCAGCAAAATGAGACGCGGTAACCAATGAACATTAGGAGCTGTAAGCTTATTGGCTACCGCATCATATTTTGCCGCGCGACAAGCGTTTCCGCGTCCAATGTGCAGAAGCCATATGGATGCGATTATAGTAACGATATTATCAGCGATGTTGTAAACACTTTGAAGCGTTTTTTTAATTGGTCAGTTTGTAAAATTCTTTTTTCTAATTGGTTCATCAAAGCATTTGTAGCGAGACTTTGACAGCCTATATGTAGCGCGGTACGCGTACAAAAACTAACTAGAAAACTATAAAAACCGCGCAAATCGTGCCGCTTACTGCTTTTCTCCTTTATTGGGGTGATATTCCATGCAGCGTGGATCGTGCGTAAGCGGATTCACGTATCGCCAATCAGAATCATTCTCTTAGATCTGTTTGCAAATTTTGCAATCCGTTTACGTACAATCCGCTGCATGGGACATCACTCTTATGTCTCCTGCACTGGACACGGAAACGCTTGCCGCGCGGCAAAATGAGACGCAATGAACACATTAGGAGTTGTAAACGTATTGGCTATCGCATCATTTGCGGCAATTATTTCCGTCCAGTGTGCAGAAGCCATTAGGATGTCGTTTCATGACGCGTATTGCCGTACGCGCGTATTCGCGTATCGAAGCTCCGACCAATCACTAACATTCCGCCGTCTTAAAGCTTAAACACAACAGGCACAGGCAATAGGCACATAGGGAATAGAGAATAACGAGCTGTTCAATCAGAGCTCTGGGATATACAATAATATCAAATTTACATACCGGAGCTTGGATGACTCATTATTCACTGTTGCCTATGCCTATCGTCTGTGTCTATTGTATTTAAACCTTTACGTATGCGCTATTTTATGCCTATACGGAACAATCAGCGGTTTGTCAATTTATGTATTTAAGTATGTTGTGTAAATCAGCGATAATTAATAATTTCGTAGTGTTCTTATATCGTTAGGAACACTAATTTTATGAATTTAGTGGAAACAAAATTATCGACTCGTGGAAAATCAATAAATATGCTGCCAAACTCTGTAAGTATTAATGATTAAAAGTTAAGTTATGTTTAGAAATGAATGTTCATGAAATAATGTAAATCTTTTCTCTATTTCAGAAAAGTATATTTACATACATTATTTTCTTTTGTTTAAATGCACTTTTAAACGCGTATTGATTTCTTTAATAGGAAGTATACGAACAAATGATTTCGAATAAATGATTCCAAAAATAATAAAAAAGAAAAGATTTCTTTATAAAAGGTAAAAGTACAAATGACATCTTTGTCATTTATATTTTGCATCCAGTTTTTACATTTTTTCGTTTTGCAGTCCATGAAGTGCGGATATTGAGGCTAGCATATCGATGGATTATTCAGAACGTCTCCTACAATCGTTGCTTTAGAATATTTAACGAAGAAATGCATATTATTTGTCGATGACAATAATGACATATCAACTTCATATTATGTTAACTTTTACTGACAGTCAGCAGTCGCTAAGTAGTGATCCTATGTCCTGCCAACAACAGGCATCAAAAAGTAAATTTTTTAATTATTTATTGATGCTCGCTAATATAATAAAGAAAGTTATCAAAGGTTTTTCAATCATTCACTGCCTTTAGGATCAAAAAATGATGATAACAGTGATATAAGAGTAACAATTTACTTAGCTCTTGAAAATGAGTCTATAAACTAAGAAAGGATACAGTGGATGGATTCTTGCTTCAAATAGGAGATCATCTATGAATCCTCTCAATATGCGAGAAACGTCAATTTGAGATACAAATCTTGTCCCTACTTTTTGATTTAGAACAAAAATTGAATCTAGTTTAAAAACGTGTTTGTCAAATGTTACACTTATATTTGTTCTGTGATAATTTGTTATTATTTACACTAATTATAT